CTATGAATATCCCAATATCTTACTAATAGAGAATAATAGCTAATTACTAAGATAGATTAATAATTAGCTTAGTTAATAGTTTACTACTCTTACTATAAGACTATTTAATATTATATACTATATCTAGGAGGGTAATATAGAATCTATCTTACTTTATTAATAGGAAATAGTACTTCTTTATTACCTACTTAATAGTACTATAATAATTAGGAATAAGTATCTTTAAATTAGGAATAGGAGTATAATAACTAAGGAGTTAAAGAAGATAAATATACTTTATAAAGAGAAGAGACTATAAAAGTCTATTAATCTAAATAAATAAAAGCTAAGCTAGGGGATCTAATATTAAGGCTTAGTTATAAAATATCTTATATATTAAGTAAGAAAAGTTAAGGGTATTTATATCTAGGCTATATATACTAGTAGTAAATACTTACTTATTTATCTATACTTATTAGTTAATTCTACCTTTATTAATTTAATTATTTATATATATATATAAATAATAATATTTATTATAATTCTTTATATAGTACTTAAGGATCACTAATTACTTAGGTAACTTACTTATTAATATTATTAAGTAAGGTAATCTAATTATACCTCTTATATATTAAATAAAGAATATACTTAGCTACTACTATAGTAATTTTAAATAATAGTATAAAGAATAATTTAGTTAATTCTATAGATTATTAATAAAGGAATAATAATATCTAAATACTAGATTTAGAAACCTATATCTCTTAGTAATAATTATATCTATATAGTTATGTTAATAGGTGCTGACTAAGAACTCTATAAATAAAGTTTAATTTAAGCAGGGGAGGATATAATATTAATAATAGATATATAGCTTTAAGGAAGCTATATCAGGTATATAATAATATCTAGTAACTAATATTATTATTTTTATAGTTAATTAGATCTTATATTTATTCTTAGCTTAGGTTAAAATATAAAAGATAGCTAGAATCCCTTAAAGTAAAGGAGATATATATAGGGTGGCTACTAGCCTACCCCCTACCCTTACACTCTTTAAAGACTCCATGTCCTTAACAACTACAAATATCCCAATAGTATAGGATTAGCTATATAACTATAGTAGTAGTTAGAATACTTATTATAGCTAACTAAATTAGATATCTAAATAGCATAGTACATGTAGTACTAACTGCTATTAAGAAACTAGGGAGCACTATTATAGATAGCTAGGTAGTATAACTAATAGAGAACCCTCTAATATAAGATAGGTCCCCTAAGCAGCGCGGCATAGTAATTACAGTAACTATCTATAGTAGTGCTAGAGGCAGGCAGAATAGTAGTAGATATAGGAGGTAAAAAAGAATATAGGCAGAATATAGGAGAGATATAAACTATTAGAGAAAGTAGAACTAGTAGGCCTATAATCTAAATATAATATAGTAGGTCCTGTAAAGGATTACATTATAAAGTAAAAGTAGGGAGTAGAATAGCTAAACTAGATACTATAATAATAGTTAGTAGATAATCCCTAGCATAAAAGCAGATGAAATAGCATAGTATATAGTGGAATTAATATAGGAGAATCTTATATAGATAGTAGTACTATTAGGGATATAGGAGTAGCACATAGTAGCTAAAGATTAGAAGAAATAGTAGTTACAGAGCTATTAGATAGGCTGGATTAAGAATATTAGCTATACTAATAGGAAGCAGATGTAGTAGATAATCTAGATAGTAAATATAATTAGTATAAAAGCCTCTATATAGAATAGTTAGCACAGCAGTGTATAATATTAGTAGTAGATAGCAGTAGTTATAAAATAGGCAGGAAGAATACCTAGAAGAGTGCCTAGTAGCATAATAATTAGTAATAGAAATATAAAGCTAGTTAATAGCAGTATAGCTAGTAAAGAGAGAGCAGAGCTTAGTAGAAGATAAGAGAGTAATATTAATAGTAATAGTAGTAAGATATTAATATAGTAAGGTAGTGATATGATAATAAGGTTAAGGTTAAAAGTTAAAGTTTAAAATATATATCTATAGTAGTTAGGTGAAGATAGCGGCAGTAGGCATCAGAAGTAGAGGCAGATTTAATAGGGTATAGGAGCCTGTATATAGCAGCCTAAAAAGGAAGGCAGTACAGCAGACAGAGCAGCAGAAGACCTTAAAGTGTAAATAAAAGTTGATCACACAAGTATATCTATGATACAACCCACCAGCACGCTGCCTCAGCAACCGCTAGATATCGAATACTCATAGTACCATATTAAATACTCATATTGTAGGGATACTGATTAATTCGCAGTTTACTCAATTACAAGAACTACCTCCTCCGCTAGTTTCTATACATCCGTCGACGAATGCCACTAGTAGATTATTAGCTGACTGAAATTCCATTCCTGTTTAAAACTGTGAGTATCGTAAACAATGAGGAATTCCAGGCAGGTTCCCCAGAGAGACAGAGAAAGGAATGACAAGCTCGAAGCTGGTTACTGTCAAGGAGATGATGAATTAAGGGGTTTATTCCTCGGCCTCAAATGCCTCCTCCTCCTCGGCATACTGTTCCTCCTCTCCGTCGGAGATACTGGCCTCCTGATATTGTTGATATTCGGACATCAAGTCATTCATGTTACTTTCCGCCTCGGTGAATTCCATCTCGTCCATTCCCTCGCCGGTATACCAATGCAAGAATGCTTTGCGGCGGAACATGGCCGTGAATTGGGTCCCCACGCGCTGGAAGAGCTCCTGGACAGACGTGGAATTGCCCACAAAAGTGGCAGACATTTTCAGGCCCTTTGGAGGCACGGAGCAGAGTGCGGTTTGGACATTATTTGGGATCCATTCCACAAAGTAACCGGAGTTTTTGGTACTGATATTGCGCATCTGCTCATCGACTTCTCTCATGGAGATCTTGCCGCGGCTGAGACTTGGTTAGCTTTGTTTCGGATTCGGAATAGGGGGAAAGCGTACAAGAGTGTGGAGCAGGTCAGAAAGCGGCCGTTTTGAAAGTTGCAAGCCGTCATCATATTCCTGGCATCAAACATCTGCTGTGTGAGTTCTGGGACAGACACTGCGCGGAAGGAATTGGATCCTCGGCTGGTTAATGGAGCAAAGCCCACCATGAAGAAATGCAGCCGGGGAAAGGGAACCATATTCACCGCCAGTTTCCGAAGGTCGGAATTCAGCTGCCCGGGGAATCGGAAGCTGGCAGTGATGCCGGACATGACCGTCGAAACGAGATGGTTGAGATCACCATACGAAGGGGACGACAGCTTCAACGTCCGTGTACAGATATCATAGAGCGCCTGTCTTTGTCAGCTCGCGTCGACCGTGGAATGACCAGAACTTGTACCTCATTGTCGATACAAAAGGTCTCATCTGCGTGCTCGACCAACTGGTGGATTGAAAGGGTCGCATTGTACGGCTCCACCACGGTATCAGAGACCTTTGGGGATGGCAGGACCGAGAATGTGGCCATCATCCGATCGGGAAACTCCTCCCGTATCTTGGAGATGAGAAGCGTGCCCATACCAGCTCCAGTGCCGCCGCCCAGGGAATGGGTGATCTGGAATCCTTGCAGATAGTCACAGCTCTCCGCTTCACGGCGAACAACATCAATGACCTGATCCACTAGCTCTGCACCTTCAGTGTAATGGCCCTTTGCCCAGTTGTTTCCCGCGCTGGACTGCCCAAACACAAAATTATCAGGTCGGAAAAGGGCTCCATGGGGGCCGGAACGAATGGCATCCATTGTTCCCGGTTCCAAGTCGACAAGGACGGCTCGAGGGACGTATTTAGCGTTGCCGGCCTCGTTGAAATAGACATTCATCCGCTCCAGCTGGAGATCGGACGCGCCATTGTACCTACGTTAGTGTTAGATAGAGAGTAAACGACAGTGACCGGATCACTGACATGCCGGACTCATCGAGACCGTGTTCGCCCGAGATGGTTTGCCTGGACTAGGTCAGAGAGAAGAATTAGGGAGTAATAGGGAGCATGGAGTTATGCTGTGTACTCCGTATGGCGGCAAATTACCAGAAGGCAGCACCAACTTGGTTACCCTGCGAAGGAGTATCGCAAGTTAGCAATCCTTCAATTTCTCCATGAGAACCGGAATTGACTCACGCATTGGCCGGTTTGAAGATGAACCTTTATTTAGCGGAATCGAGATCAGAGTCAGCGACCTCGACGACAGGCAATTCCGAAGTCAGTGAGCGAACTCACAATTTCACGCATGTTGGTCGGCAGACACGAGTATCTAGATTCGAATGAAGGTGAGTCGTAGGATAGGAGAACAAGAGGTGTTGTGTTGGAAGGGGGAGGTCAGGTCAGGCATCCATAAAAGACGGACTGACTAGACTGACTAGTGATTTTCCACGGCCGCTAGTAAGATACGGGCATAAGGTAGATCCGGTATGGTCTATGGATAGGAGAGCTGATATCATGGCCTGCCATTCGTGGAAATTAGCCACTGGCAGACTAGCAGGGATGATCAATTGGAAGATTGCAAAGTACCAACCTAACTTAGTATGGACTATGGACGTATGGAAGTGTATACAGTACGGAGTATACAGTATACCTATGTATATATGTTCACCCACTCTACATAATTATAATGCATGGATACAAGTAGTGACGGGTTATAAATTGTTTCTTGAATATTGCTGTATTTGCGTATTTTCGATTTGCGTATGATAGAATTATAATACAGCTAGGCTAAAAAGGTTCTTGCCTAGTCAAGGATTACATATCAGATAACTAACCCGACGTCTACCGAACCGGGCAAACTGATACTTATGATACTCTGGTTAAATAGAAAGATTTGTCGCTGTACGAACCGTGCTATGCACCAGCAATCATGATTCAGGACCGAGCTTCGGCGATTTCGGCGTTTCACTGATTTAGCAGGGCTGGTCCTCTGACACCGCCCTATATAGTGCGACAGTACAGTTGCGACAGTACAGTTGCGACTTCATCGTGCATTTCTGCTGCTGCCTGTCTCTTCCCGCCCAAAGATGCTTGGCGTCTTGCTTCTATTCTTAGCCACTGCAGGCCTTGTCTGGTTTCTTGAGACGCCCTTCCGAACAGGACTATGGCACATTCCGGGGCCTTGGTGGCGCCGCTATACAGGTGAAATTGAGGTCTTCATCTCTTGTTTCAGAAGTCCACTAATGTTTCCCTAGACATTTTCCAGGTGCTTGATGCTTACAATGGACGAACCTGCCAAGTCATTCAGCGCTTACACAAGGAATATGGGCCCGTGGTGCAAGTTGGTCCACGAACCGTCATGTTCTCCAAACCATCCATGATAGAAAAAGTCTATGCGACTAGGGCGCCCTTCCCCAAAGTATGCAATACCCACCCTTCCGCTCGCAGCTTCTCTAACTGGGTCTCTTTTCAGAGCTATCACTGGAGGCCGCTCCGAACTGAGCTGAAAGGCGTCCATTATCCAAGTCTCATAGGCACGGACGATACTAAGACCCATACCGCTCTCAAACGGCCTGTCTCTGGCATCTACTCCATGTCCAACGTCACGAAATCAGAAAGCTTCATCAACGAATGTATCCTTCAGCTTGTTAAGAAGCTTGACCAAGAATTCAACGGCAAAGAGAAGTATCTGCCCGTGTTTACGTGGATGCATTTTTGTAGGTCCAAATTTGGTTTAACCTGAGAGCAGTACTAAGGGGACCACAGTTGCGTATGACACAATCATGAAGCTTACGGTCTCTGCCGACTTTGGACTCATCCGAGGCGAAGCTGATCGAGAGGGAATGTTTCGAGGTGTCGATGCAGCTCAAACATACCGAGCTATGGTACGGCGACGCTTGCATGAAATTCCGCGCTATGGCTGACATTTCGTACGCAGCCTGTATGCCGTGGGTTCACTCTCTTCTCAAGGGTAGCCCCATCACGAAAGTGTTTGAGAAGCGCATGGGCTCATTCCCACGTCGAGCACGGGAACTCATCCAGAGCAGGAGGGCCAACGGGGCTGCAAAAACCAGAGATCGCGAGGACTTGCTCTCCCAGATTTTGGACACTCAAAAGAAGCATCCGAACGTTGTCGATGAGCGCGTTGTTCACGGTTACGCTACCACACCACTGCTCGCCGGTGCGGACACGGTAACTGTCGGCCTTACTTCCATCGTCTACTTTGTGGGCAAGAATCCGGAGGTTGCAGCCAAACTACACGCGGAATTCACAAAATGCCCTACCTGGATGCGGTCATTCGGGAGTCATTCAGGTGCCATCCTATCGGAGCCATGTTATCACGACGCCTGGTTCCACCAGCCCCTGGTCTCACGCTTGCGGATGGTCACACCCTGCCACCAGGCACAGCAGTCGCGGTTTCAGGATGGTCTACCCATTTTGATAAGGACGCCTATGGCGATGACGTACACGACTTCAAACCTGAGCGCTGGCTGAAACGTCACTCAGAAAGCGACGACGATTATGCTGAGCGTCTGCACAGGATGGGCAAAGCAGATCTGACATGGGGCGCCGGCGACCGGGCTTGCATGGGTAAGAACATTGCGAAATGCGAAATGTACAAGCTAATTGCTACATTGTATTCCATCTCTGACGTGAGTCTCTGCTACAAGATATATGTCGGTGTTCCTGGAATAGACTGACAGTCGACCAGATCCAGCTTGTTGACCCGACCAAGGAATGGAAAATCAAGGAGACTGTCCTAGCGAAGCAAGAGGGCGTTGAGGCGAGAATTACCTTCAGGCCTGGCGCAAGTCTTGACCAGCTCGTACAGGGGGATGCTTGAAAAGTAGGCTAGGAAGCGTCTGTGAAACATGTCTGCTGGACGACCGGATCAGTCCGAGTTGGATTTGAATAGAATCATATTGTTATAAGCAAAGGACCTTCCTTTCACTGTCTAGGATAACTACTTTTCAGTACTTTAGTCAACCTTTGTGCGCATCCAGAAAGCCAAACGCCAAACGCCAAAAAATGGGCAAAACTGGAGACATCCTCTAGCCATCGCAAAGTATATAACACCAACCCAGGGTGGATAACACAAAAAGACTATGGCAATACTATATGCCCCGTATGTTTTATGTAAATTATATATCACCATAGCAAATACTAGGGTGGAGAGGGTTGATCCATAGATTACTTAGTCCCAAGACTCGCACGCATTTTTAAATTTGGATTGCCACGGGTAAGCATGGGAGTTGCACTCATTCAAGCCTCGATGTGATATAGTGATTGATAGAGATGCAACCAGCTACCTGACTAGACGAACCACACATTTTTCCCCTGAAAGCTTGCCACTCCTCACTAACTCCATACCCACCAACACCTGGTCGAGCCCACCTTCAAGGATCCGCACGGGATGGTGTCGCAGTTTGCCATCATCGACCAGCTTCTGAGCCACGGCCCACAGCTTCTTGCCATAAGCACGAATCTCCTCACTCGGGGGTCGGCCATATGGAGTAGGCCAGGTGGACCCATCACCGAAGATGGATGGTCCAAGGACCCAGTCGGTCTTCACAGTGGCGCGCGTGGCGGCGTGCTGCGGAAACGGGTCCAGGGAAACGTACTTGCCGCCGGCGCGACCAAGGGCGGCGAAGCAGAGGCTGGTGGATTCCGCTGTCGTGATGCAGTCGAGAGCGTAGCGCAGGTTGTTTCCCGTGTAAGCTTTCTGGTTGTGGCAGGGGATCGGTCAGTAAGAATCGGTGTATGGATACGACAGCAACCAAGGTTGTGGGATGGAAAGCAGATGGCCTTACAATCTTAGTGGCGCAGTCCGGGTCGCGATAGTCAAAGGTCGCTTGGGCACCGTATGCTTTGACTTGGTCTGAATTCTTTGGAGAGCAGGTAGCTAATGGGATCATATTCACACTAGACTGGTCAGCACGAGCGTCGCGGTTCCAACGCTGGAATGGGGTTCTCTCACAGTCTCAGCAGCTGTATAGCAATGGTTGCGTTCGCTGTACTGCCGCCGTTCACAAGAATGTATGCAGGCTTCTGAACGGCAGCATCAGGCAGAGGCAGCCCTAGAAGCTTCAAAGCCAGCCCTGCAGTGCTGATACCGGCACCAAACGTGGCGGCGCCTTCAGTGCTGACGGAGGCAGGTAGCTTCAACCAGATCTTGCCAGCGGAAATGTTGTATTCTCCGAATGATCCACGATGAGGTGTGTTAGCGTTCATGGCATGCTGAGCTCCGCACACTCTGTCGCCCACCTCTACGTCTGTGACCTCAGGCCCACAAGCGACGACGGTTCCCGCATAATCAGTGCCTAGAACACCACCAGGGGTCACGAAGGCGCCGCGCATTTTGGTGTCGCTGGGATTGACAGCCACGGCTTCCGTTCGGATCAAGAACTGGTCTTTTTCAAGCGTGGGCGGGGGCACATCGTCTCGTACACGCACCCGATCTCCAGCCTCCACGATCACCGCACGCTGAGTTGTTGGAGGCACAAGAGCCCCAGTACCAATCGACCCCATTCTCAGTAGGATGGCAGGCGTTCTTCCGGATCTTGACTGAACAGGTATCAAGGAACGCGACTTTGAACTCAAGTGTAGGTGATGGCCCACCAAAATCTTTTATCAAAGGCACGATGTCTTACCGTGAGCGCCATTGTCTGCTACATCATTACATTACGCCCATGTCCACTGAACATCCAAGTGGCGCCGTAGCGAGCGGGAGACGTCCGGCGGCCCCCAAGGGATAATCCCCTAGGCTGTTCGGCGTACTTCGGCGTTTCGGTCTGTTGGCCCCAGGGTACCTGCATGTGGAGGCGAGTATACCAGTGATATGTTGCCCCATGGAGCGAACATTTCCCTATGTGTCCTTTGATAGGAGTGTTTTATGGTACTCTTCTTCGACGCACGTAGTTATCATAGTAGAATGGAAAGTCCCATCAACTATCAATGAAAAGCTAAAACGCCAACTCTGGATTGGAAACAGACACTAGAGCCGCTTCAATACACCAACGTTGGTCACGCATCATGCCTCACTCTCGATCACGCACTAACGAGTGGATCAGAATGTCTAGGAGACCTTCCAAAGCCCTTCTTTGCTTTCATGGCACTGGTTCAAAGGAAGCCATCCTCAACGTCCAAATGGCGAGGATTTGTTTTCTACTGGGGGACGCGTTTGAGTTCATTTTCCTTGACGGACCGATGGAATGCGCTGCAGGACCTGGGGTTCTGCCCATGTTCAGCGGCCAAGAGCCATATTACTGTTGGTTTGGCGGCGACGGCACCACTATCAAGGACAGCTTAAAGAGAATCAACGCGTCTGTCAAGCCGACGGTGGATGGATGGCAAGCGAAGTATCCTGATGCAGAGATCGTTGGAGCGATTGGGTTCTCCGAAGGTGCACTCGCCCTTGCAATGATGCTCTGGCAGCAACAGCAAGACCTAGTGCCCTGGCTGCCGCAGCTCCGGTTTGCCGTAATGAGCTGCTGTTTCTTTCCTAACGAGGCTTCCTTGTGGCTAAACGCTAGAGCCCAGGCTTATGGCCTGAGCAAAGCCTACATTGACGTTCCGACGCTTCACATACACGGCAACAGAGACTTTTGTCTCGGCCGCGCACGAAAGCTAGTGAGAAACCACTATCGGTCGAACTTTGCTCCTGTCATTCAAACGGATACCGCCCATCATTTGCCAACAAGGAAAGACGAGGTGGGGGAGGTGGTGAAGCATATCCTGAGACTGTCGGAAATCTCAGCAACTGACGCGCCAAATTGAGAAATTCACACCCGTGCCTGCTCTGGTATTGCTGGTTTAACTATACTTTTCATCACTTTTCCTCAACAATCAAATTTACTGCCCCAAGATAGGGTCATTAAGGGGATTAGGGTGATTAAGATGGTTAACGTGTAAAGTAGATACAGGTTAGAAATAAGGAATCTCTTTTTTAGGGTAGTTGGAGGGGGCGGAGGGGGGGAGGGGTTTCATACTATATACAGTAGTCGAGGAGCTCATCAAGTTCTTAAATTATATGTGATCTTCATAGAATTTAAGACCTTGCCTAACTTTTCTGAGACCTTGCTGGAACTGCATGTCCGGCGGCCCCTAACCATGATTATTACGACAGCTGCCAGTAGCAGGTCAAAGCTTTCTAGAGGATCTCGTCGACTCGTATAGCACCCCGCAGCGTTCTAGCGGTCTGGCCGGTAATACGGGAAGAGGGGCCACCCGTCTTGTAAGACCAAGATCTCTACGCTCGTTAGCGCTTCCCTGGGCATCCCATCTTAAATACAATCGGAAAACGCCGAATATCGCATAAAAACGCCGAAGAACGCCGATCACCCGAAACGCGTGTGGGCCGCCCTCCCCCTAGTCTGACTCTGACCGCAGTAGCAGACTGTCAACAGCTTGCTTCCAAACTTTTACTCTCTCGTTTTTTCCAGATCAGTAACACCTGTTCCTTTTCCATCCCCAATCCTGCGTGTCGCGCGCATTCATCACCGCCGCAATGGCTGCTGCTGTAGCCCCGGCCGCCCCCGAGAAGAAGCTCGAGGGCCTTGGCCTTTACTCTCGGTTCGCTTTTGCCGGCGCCGTCTGCTGTTCTGTCACCCATGGTGCCTTCACTCCAGTCGATGTGTATGCTGTCCAGCAGCTTCAGCTCCAGTATCTAATGTCCGCGACTTACTGACACTCCTACAGTGTCAAGACTAGGATCCAGCTCGACCCAGTGACATATAATCGTGGTATGATTGGTGGTTTCCGTCAAGTCATCCAAAATGAGGGCGCTGGTGCTCTCTTGACTGGCATTGGCCCGACCTTTGCTGGTTACTTCATGCAGGGAGCCTTCAAGTTTGGTGGTTATGAGTTTTTTAAGCAGCAATCCATCAACATTCTTGGTCTTGAAAGGCCCGTCAGAACCGTACTGCCGTTTACTCTGTCTCGGCCGCCTCCGCTGAATTCTTCGCCTCGATCGCCCTCTGCCCTCTTGAGGCTACACGTATCCGTCTTGTCTCTGAGCCTGGCTTTGCCAATGGCCTGATTGGCGGTTTCGGCAAGATTCTCAAGAACGAGGGCATTGGTGCTTTCTACCGTGGTTTCGGTCCTATCCTCCTGAAGCAGTACGTTGGTTCGATGATAGGCCTAGAGACACAACAATAAGCTGATTTGATACAGGGTGCCCTACACAGTGACCAAGTTTGTCGTTTACGAAAAGGTGGCCGAGGCCGTTTTTGCTCGCCTTGACAAGTCCAAGCTGTCGAATAGCGCCCAGACCGGCGTTAACCTGGGATCTGGTCTCATGGCTGGTTTCGCTGCTGCCATCGTCTCTCAGCCCGCTGATACTATGCTGTCCAAGATCAACAAGACCAAGGGTCTCCCCGGGGAGAGCACCATCTCCCGTCTTATCAAGATTGCGGGTGAGCTGGGTCTTCGTGGTTCCTTTGCTGGTCTTCCTACTCGTCTGTTCATGATCGGTGGTCTTACTGCTGGTCAATTCGCCATCTACGGTGACATCAAGAACGCTCTTGGTAAGTCAGCTTACTTTCTTGATTCTTTCTGCAAGGCTGACTTTGTACCCTTAGGTGCGACCAATGGTGTTGAGATCGCCAAGTAACGACCCATTACGAACATTCCAAATCGCATGGTTTAGACAGGAGGTTAAATGGTTTGGTATAGAGATAGACGTAGCCAGATCTACGGATCTCCCCTTCCCTGCACTTACCCCTTTTACCAAAATGCGCCTGCAAACCCTCCTCGACTATGGTATATAATCATATCAGGCCGGTATAACAGCGTACCCTGCGGCAGGCATTATCATCTTCTTTCAGTGACCGCATTAGATTATGTACTATACCCTCGACAATAAGATAGATCCAGAGCGAACCCAAACACACTCAAGTGAAATCAAATCTCCCCCTTTCGAGCGAGCTCCCTCATGGCACTAATTGTACCCTCAACAGCCATCTTGCTCATATTTTGTTCCCTTTCCCTCAACACAGCCAGTTCCCCCTCCGAAGCGCCTGGGTGCCTCCACTCGAAAACATATGTCATATACAGTTCCCCCTCTGCACCTTCACTGACGATGTTACTGATGGTACTCCCATCAGGTTGAACAAAATCAACTCGCGAGTCTTTGTGGGCCGTCACAGTCTCTTTGACTTTCCGCTGATCTTGACGAAAGACCACTTCACGGATGGTGACGGGATTTCCAGCGTCATCAACCGATTCACTGAGGACTGACGTTGACTGAATGCCGGCTGGGACGAACGTCTCTGCAGAGCGGATCTTGAGGAGCAAACCAGCCCAGATCTGACTGCGGGTGAGGATTGGATCGGCCCCAGGAGGATTTATCGGAGAAGTGAACGCTATATTGTTCGTGGGGCAGACCATTTCGACGAGATGTGATCGCTAGTCAATGTGATGGAGTGGACAAATTCTGATGAAGTGGACCTAGTCTATATAGGTAATCAATACCCCGCTACTCCGTATAATCGTATCCTTTGAGAAGGCCGCTAAAGATTGGCTTACAAAGCCCTCGGTCTTCCGGACAGCGAGGCTGACAGGCTGAGTAAGATAATTCACGCACGGCCCAAGCCTTATGTCATTATTGTTATCGAGCGGTCAGAATCAGAGCATCCACTGATAGGGCTCAAGTGGATTAAGAAAACAATCTCGTTAAAGAGACTTTGAACTGGTAGAAAGCGTCATACTTGTGATCCATAGCATCCAGATATCTACAGATCAATAACCGACGGGTAGACAGTGGTTCTGTTCCTAACTTCCTAAAGAGGTTACCCAGAGATAGCGTGAAACAGACATGATCCAATCGTTGGCTCTACTACTGGATCAGCTTAGATCCTCGTATTTTAAGTTAGCATCCCAACCAGGGCTAGCTGGTGCCTCGTATTCTGCGTTGGTTCGCGGGATTCGCTTGGCGCATTATGATCGACGCAGACCTTTCTTATTATAAGAGCACCTAAAACCTACATTTTACTTTCCCTCACTTGTCTGCTGGCCTTTGTCACATTTGTGAACACAGCGATAATGGGCAAAATCACCTTCTACTGCAACATTTGCGGTGGGCCGCTGGACTGCTATGATCTCCGAAAGGCTTCCACGGCCTGTGAAGGCGAAGACCTAAGCCTTTGCTACGATGATGAGTGTGACTGCGAGGCTCAGACCAGACCGGAAGCTGAAGACGAGGAGGATGGAGAAGATGACGAGAACTCTACCGCGCAGTGTGAACACGATAGTTATTGCGCATCCCTGAGGGGATACAACGGGGATTTGGTACCTGAAAAGGATATCTTGGTATGATAACAATCGCCATAGGAATCTTGTCACTGACGCTTACCAGTGGCTAGAAAAAGTGAGAATGCTGCGTCCTAGGGATGCCCAGAGTGACAAGCATAATCAAATGCAGGATGATGACGCATACTATATCACTGACATTGTAAGTCCATAAAAGTTCAGCCGTAGAGGTGCTCATCGTCATGTCAGTGCCTGTGACTGATGAACCCAAGGGCAGCTATGATCCGTGGTATGGACTCACAGTTCCTGGCGAAAACACTGGTAGTAGCGATGGAAGGCTATGGGCGAATATAGATGGCTTTTTTTTACATGATACCTGCTGGCAGATGCTTCAACTTGTACATCAAACTGTGGGTTCGAGCTCGCGGCCATTAGGGCCTCGCCGGGTGTATCTTACTATGCAGGCTCGATTAGGGCATGACACGGAGAAATCCATCGACTGGGAGGACAGTAGAATCTACGGTGGTACGGAGGACTTTCAATCGCAAGAGTGGGAAGCAGAGCCAGGGTATGAGGTAAGTTGACCTACATGATGTTCAAACGCGAACTACTCATGCATCAAAATATTAGCTGACGCATTTCAGTGGTTAGTTGCGGACCCGTTAAAGCCAGTCGACGCCTCTGAGCTCATCTCTGCCTCAAAGACGTCGAACCCCGGCTCAACAAATGCAATTGTAAACGTGGGTGCACTCGAATTGCCGGGTGTAGATCCGTTTTCGAGTCTACCGTGGGACGTCCGCTATAGGATTTTGCAAATGCTTCCTTCGCCATCCGTCATCAATCTGGTCATTGCCAGTCCCGCATTTCGTGGAGCTGCCCGAGATCTGCCCGATCACTTTTGGAGATTACGTCTGGGCTACGATTGCCCGTGGATTGACGGAGACTCACTTCGGCAAAACCTTGCCCAAGCAGGCGCGCAGGTTAATTACAAGGAACTCATTCGTCTCACCAAGAAAGCTGCAGCAAGGCCAGAGGATGGAATGAACGAAGAGCAGGATAGCTGGTTGAACCTCAGAAATCGCCATCGGATCTGGACATGCTGCGAGGTTATCCTGGAGAAGTTGGAGAAAGAAGCAACACCGTGGGTCCAGTCTCAATCAAAGTGCAAATCGGGCGAGCATGCTGCTAACCTCAACCAGGGAATAGGGTTTACTAGCACTAGCTTAGTGGAGTAAAGTCTCTCTATAGCGAACTATTTGTAAAAGAACAAACTTTGGCCTATAAAGAAATCCTCTCCTCACAGTCCTCTTGAACCTCTTGTCATGCCTTATGTATCTTCAAGTCAGTCTAACCATATAGAGTCCAATATTCTGCCCAGGAAGATGGTATCTCAATTCTAACAAGGTTTTTCTAGGTGCCTAGTGACTTTGTCAATTCAGTCTTGAACAATATCCTCAATGTTGAGGTGACTGCGTGGAAATAATGGACTCAAAAGCCACCAATCAAGCTAATGGCACTCATAATTGAGCATCAAAAACACGGAAAGCGGTGCAAGGCGAAATTAACAACGTATGATCTAGGTAGTTTTTGAATTTAGGGTCAGGCGACTGTACAAATCTCCTCAATCTTGTTGCTTCACTAACATATGATATTTAATACTGATAAGCAGGTAGACAGACTGCTCTGATGTATGGCCAACAACAGGAATTAATATCAGCCGATCATTTCAGCCACAGAGATCATAATCCGTATTCCATGGCTCCTTACTTCCTCTAAAACCTTTTAAATGCCCTAGCACTCGCCATGAATAATAGTCTGTGTATCATTAAGCTCTCCCGGAGTCGCAAAACATCGTCACTATTGATGGACAGTCACACATGATCCCATATTCCTACAGTAATGAAATCCCGTAACCGTAGTTCATGTGCCTGTGAGCTGGTAACACTAGTGTATTTGGGATCAAAGACCTGGATTGTCGGAATAGCATGGCATAGAAGGGAGCCTGGCATGTACCAGACCCAACTTGAGTAACAAGTCCTGGTAGCTGTTTGCCCCACGACGATAATGAAAAAATCAAGTTCATGGGGGATTTAGTTTATACGAGAATGCCCGTTTAATGAGGAGATAAGCTTAACGGATGAGCGAGCCACTGCTGGTGAGGACGAGCCATTAGTAGTCGGGATGGAACGAAGGGCTGGAAGGTACCTATGCATGCCGCTCGACTCTACTACACCTAAGCCACCGAGCTTTGCCAGATTTCGCAAGATGACTAGGCAGTGGAATGTCTTGGACTATAATCTATTAAGGTTTTGTGCTAGTTACTTGGCAGCTGAAAATCCAAAATTTTAGGTTGTCCAGCTGAGACCTACAAGGTTAGTTCGCACACTATGGCAGGCCTTGAAAGAAATGCCCGTAGGTACCTAAACAGTCAACCCCCTCTATTTTAACAATCTCTTCCTTTGTTTCCTTTTCATTTTCAGTTCACTGCGCCAAATTTACCAGAAACATTATAAAAATAAAAATAAAACAATTCCACTACTCCTACCATCATGCCGCTTCTCAGCCTACCAAATGAACTGCTCGAAATTATATCAGAAAATCTTCAGTTTGAATGTGACCTCAATGCACTTGCAAAGGCTAATCGAGCACTATACAATCTACTGAACCCATGTCTCTACCGCTTCAATGTGCTGCAGAAAGGAAGCTCCGCTGTATCCTGGGCTGCAGAACGTGGCCGGCCGGAAACACTACAAAAACTCATCCAGGAAGGGGCGAATCTAAATATAAGGGTCGACAACCATGCCCTCGCCCAGCCACTCCTTACGGCAGCCATGGAGGGACACATAGAGGTAGTCAAAGTACTGCTCGATCACGGTATACCTCCGGATCAAATACACGACCCCGCGGATAATGAGGATGAAACCGGCTATGACCAAACCCGCCTAACAGCATTGGGATGGGCAGCGGCCAGGGGGCATAAAGACGTATTCGAATTGTTGCTCGCAAGGGGGGCAAGCCCAACATGGACAGAACCATACCAAAAGGAGTCCATTCTAATGTTGGCAGTAGAAGGGGGGAATCCAGACATTGTCAGGCGCCTACTTGAGGTGGGTTGTGAAGTAGATGCTCGAGATAGTGATGGAGTGACGGCGTTAGCACGTGCAGCACGCTATGGATATTTGGAAGCTGCTCAAGCGTTGATTAACCATGGAGCTGATCCCGAGTCTCGAGATCAACGGGGTAAAACGCCGATCTTTTGCGCGGCGGAAGAAGGCCATCAGGGAATGATCGAGTTCTTGCTTGGGAAGGTAGTTGATCCCAATCCCAGAAACGACGATGGTCAAAGCCCATTATCTGCAGCCGCAGCGCAGGATCGACCAGCATGTGTTGCGCTGCTACTGGAGCATATTGATATAGAAAATGAGATCGCAGCAGGTAGTCAGGAAGCATACACTGTACTCACGGCAGCAGCAGCATTTGGCCACGAGTCGGTGGTAAAGCAGTTGCTTGAAAAAGGTGTCCACCCCGATTCTAGAGGTACTACGTGGAGTGAATGGTTTGTTGGAGGACGCACTGCCCTATCATGGGCAGCAGAGAAGGGTTATTATGAGATTGTTCACATCTTGCTAAAACATGGAGCTGTCGACCTTTGCCCCGAAGACGATGACGACTTACCTCCGCACATACTGGCAGCAGGCAATAATCACAAAGAAATAGTCGCGCTGCTGCTTGATAGGGGAGTTAACGTCGATCACACTTCAAGTGGGCACACAGCACTGTCTAAAGCGGCCGACGACAATGCAGACAGTGTTGTTCAGCTACTGCTTGAGAGAGGAGCGGATCCAAATCTTCAGATGTACGACGGACTTACACCTCTAGCCTTGGCAGTATTGCGTGGTAATGTATCATCAGTCAAGCTGCTGCTCGATGCGGGTGCAGACCCTGACACCGAGATCAACTGGAGGAAACATGGAGAAGTCGAAACCTGGACACCTCTAAAATTTGCTGCAATATCTTCTGGTAACGAAACTGGCGCGATTGTCAGGTTGTTATTTGAGTACAGTGCAAAATGGGGAGACATTGACAACATTTCCAGCCATGAAGCGCTGTTTGCTGCTGCAAAAAATGCGAAGGCCGGAGTTGTCAGGGCCTTCTTGGAACAAGGCTTTTGTTCTGGAGCCAGGAAGGATGCACATAATCGCCACCGTTTATTGTCATGTGCGCTGGAATCCAGTGGCTCCAGAGAAATAATATGCTTACTCCTGGAAGAATATGGTTTCGATGTACATTTTCAAGATGACGAGGGTCGAACGGCATTATTTTGCGCAGCCATGGTGGGTTGCGAATATGAAGTCAGGATGCTTCTTTCAAAAGGTGCAGATCCCCTTCATGAGGATAAGGAGGGTCACAATGCACTATTCTACGCCATTCGTTCAGCCAACAAAAAAGCAACTCAACTTCTCGTTGAATACGTTGATGTGAAGGATCTCAGGAAGGATTATCTTGACGACCCCCAAGTCAGGACAATGCTCCAAGAGCATCCAGATATTCAGAAGATACTAGAGTCTCATTACTGGCGGAAGGTTTACCCTGTGCCTTGATCTAGCAATTCCATACATCTTGGCCATGTGCTGCCAATGGCTGCCTTTGTTGGAGGACAGCCAGCATCAGATAGTTCACTTGGATTTTTTGAAACACAGGGGCACTTTGACCCCTGGACCAACATCATGTTGAGAGAGATGACCTATATATAGATAGATGTCCTAGATGGGCTCTTTGCGGAACTAGATCAGTATGCTCTTCTTTTCTGCAGCCATCTTGCTGTTTCTTCCTGAGCCTCTGCTGGATTTGCTACCGGGGAGTGTTTCTGGTACTTACCTATGTTGGCTGTCTGCGTCAAACTTATTCCCCGGCTTCAACTTTCTTTCCGCCTAGTCCTTAGGGTTGCTTTGGTGCGTATTGAGGACTTACAGTCAGCTTCCCATAACCCACCTCAGTCTCATACGACGCAAGTTGATACCATACCAGACGATACTAGATGATACCTGTAAAGTTGTAGAACCCTTAAACATACAACCAACGGATCCACATTGATGTCAAGATCAGGCAGAAGCATTCCAATCGGGCTATTCTCTCTGCCTCTGCCCTGCATCTATCCCTGTCGCAGCAATCCAAACACGCCATTACGCTCGTCATGATGTCTCCATGGCTATGTCATGCCAGCAGCACCACCCTTTTCTTTCAGAGGCTCCGTCAGTCTTCACTCTGTCAGCCTCATCGAGTAACTAGTGGGAACAAAGCTGCAGGGATCGAGCCTAGTCAATACCCCGTATTACAAATATCTACCTTGGCAAATTGGTTCTTTTGTTCTTTGGTGGCAACGTCGCCGACCATGAACTTGTTCGCGTCCGCCAGAAGCTCTTCGCGAAGCGTGCAGTCAGGGCGGTCTTTTTCGTTGGGAAGATTGGCAAGCTCGGCGTCCAGCTTGTTCAGTATATCGGACGCATATTTCGAAGTCTCCACTAGCTGAGCTCCCGTTTGAGTCCACTGGGCACCATGTACAGTGAAAATATCCAGGAGTTTGGCCTTGCACTCTTTTTGGGTGGCAGAAGAGCCCGTGGCTGTAAGCTTTAGCCTCTGGTCCAGCTGTACTTGTTGCTGGCTTGCCGGCTGGCCGCTGGGCCATAGTTACTTGGACTTTGAATTAGTCCACCAGATTGCCGAGTCACAGAAACCTGAGCTGCTTTGTTAACGATGGCTCTGAAAGGAACGTGTATTCATAAGCGAGGAGAATCGCAACAGAGCGCGGCTGTCTCCTCTTTTATATATATTATATTCCTCTCTTCCCGCAACCTCCAACCTTCGATCATGTTAACATGGGAACCCGAGACAAAATGTCACCGTCTCCAGATCGATCAGAGTTTCATGTAGCAATCATGATAATTGCGCCATTGATTCTGGCCTTCTATGCAGTCTGTTACTGTTTCCTCTCAACGATGTCTCCTGTGATGATGCTAAATATTTTAACAGGGATTTACCCTGGGTTCAGGACTCATATCTGGTTCCTATATTGACAACAATTGTGAATCGGGCATTTGCACCAAGTCATATATCTCTACTATTTTATTCCCATTAGTGAGAATTAGACAACACTGAACATTGCCCTGCATTTTCACAGCTGATATCAGAAACCATCACGCAGGGTGACCAGAATGCTGTCTTTCATCGCCGGTGACCGTACCGGACTTCGATATGGAACGAAACGCATCGTGGTCTTTGGAGGAGCATGGTGGAATTTCTGGATGTTAATTATCAGTCCCTCGTAAATGGACACGACGATGTCAATGATTGTCTGAAACTGGCCTCGATGGGTGGAATTTCTACATCTCCATTGCCTTGTTGTATTCAGGTAGAACCCACTTAACCATCCACTCCGATTTTAGGACTTCTTCAGCGGTTGGTCGCTGTTCCGGTCGAAATGCCAGCATTCGGCGCATCAAATCTAAAATGGCAGCCATTTCCTCCCTGTCAAACTCCTTCACGCGACCGCTCTTTCGTCGATATTTCTGCACCCCTTCCTCAAATGCCTTGTCAATCGAAGGCCACACATGCCGGCCCTCCTTTGGACGCCCATCATCATCAAAGAATTGACCTCGTTTCTCCCAGCATTTGAACCAGCATAAGGGCATGGCTCCCAGAACATCGATCTGCTGGGCCACCATCTCATCTGCAGTGGCGAATTCGCTGCTGAAAATGGCTTTCATGCCAAGTATCTCCCATATCGTAACGGCCAGACTCCAAATATCTGCTGAATATGAGAGCGGGGCCTGCGGTTCGAATCGGGCTTCCGGGGGGCGCACGGCTAGCGGGGTATGACAGTCTTTCCCGCAACGAAACTCTTCTTCTGGAGCGAATGCCTCGCCAAAGTCACCAAGAAGCACGCATGTATCGGATAGGCAGAATTCTTCTGCATCTTTCCCAAGGTAGAGCGGTATTACTGCCTTCTCTGGGATGTTGGGCGGAAGCGGCTTTCCGTCGCGCTGCGTAATGGTGACTGTCTCAGGCTTGCCATATTCTTCATATAGTTGCTCGATCGAAAGCTGGTCAAAACATGATGGAAGTTTGACTAAGACGTTACGGAGATGGACATCTAATGATGTTAATTTGAGGATGATGAAGTCACAAAGAATTGCAATGACTAACCCCCATGGACATAGCCTTGTGAATGAGTATACGCAATAGCCAATACGAGGCCGCCTGATAGGGCACGTGCAACTTCAATAGGGAAGAGGCGGCTGAAGGATACCTCTCTGAGATTGCATCGTGCGGGAGCCATTGTATAGCACGGATGTGTCCCATTAGGGCCATGGACCTCGAATTCGTCGAGGGGGAATGGGATTGATTTACGGCCGGGATGCACGGAAGAAGACGAAAGAGCTCGGAGAATCTTAGTTTCACGCGGAAGCGCATCTGCGATGCCAACTTTGACAGCAACATACTGCTCCTGGCAAGTGTCCCTGGCAAGCCAAATAGTCGAATAGCCTCCGAAACCCAGTTTGTCCACAATGTGGTAGCGCGCGTGTAACATGTCGCCAATCATAACAGGATGATAGCCGCCGGGCCTGTATTTTTTAAGTGACTCTACACCATCAATCCAGTTGTACTCTTCTTCACCGTGCGACATTGCTGTTGACGAACAGGGAGAGGTAGAGTTCTGCCGTATGGACAATCCAAACTCAGGCTTTGGAGGGTAATAAGTGGATGGTAGGCGTGAGAATTGAGTTGAGAGTTGGAGCAACCCGGGCGGTAAAAAAACAGAGATGAAAGGATGAGTGGCCAACTTTAATCTGGTGTAACGCGCCATAATATAATGAGGAATGGAGGCAGTGGTTGTTTGAAGAAGGCGAAAGAGGCCCCTTCCCACAAATGTATGATGTGTACTGAGACAGAGCCGCCCGAACCAAACTAATTCAGGCCATTGACAAAGGGCCTCAAGAATATCTACTAGCGGCCGACCATTTTTACAAGTGATTAGTGCCATGGCTTCTCCTATTATTCCAGGTATTTATAATATATAAGAATATCAGGATGTGTAAAGCGTCAGCATGAATACTAGAAAACGAAATCGTCGGATATAAATCCCATGAAATGCGCTAGGTAGCCTAGGTATGCATGGAGTCTCCACCCAGCTTGGATATCTTCATGGTTTACCTTTTTGGGGGATGATCGGCCGCCATTACGAACTATACAAGATCACGCCAACCACAGAGACCCATAGACTAGTCCATGGCATGAAGTACTAGCTCAGTGGTCCAGATGAACACATGTTCATAATTCATGATGATACCAGTTTACACAATGACGTACCCTTGAAATATGATGCTCTGGACGACCATATAAACCACATCTCCATCCATTCCAGCACAGGTCTTTTACCAGACAATAACACATTCCCGCGATTAACATACTTTCAAATCAGCACACAACTGCATACCCAAAGTTACAATGGGCCGCACCTATCGAACTCACCACCCTCAATTCTCCCCCGGCGACACCGTCTACCTCTCCAGCTGCCGCCGCAGCCTGCCCTTCCAGCGAAACGACGCTGGTTACATCACTGCCCACGACGAGCTCCTCACCACGACCCGCAAGACTGTAGAGCACTACGATTCCTCGGGCACGCTGTACGCAAATGCCACACCCGCAGTGCAGGGCGACCGGTTCTACGTGGAGCAGGGCGACAATGGATTCCGGTTCAAGGAGACCGAGACAGGCAAGTATCTGGCGCTGAAGGGGGAGTATGTATTCTCATTCTTACGTCTTCTTGGCACAAGCTGACTGGCTGGGGCTTAGTTGGATTGGGCTTGATGATGAGGGGACGGATCTATGGTTCGAGGAATGGCCGAAGGAGGAAGGAAGGTATATCATCACACCGAGAGGGCATAATATCTACCCGTCGGATGGACCGGGATATCATCTGTGGCTTGAGGGGGCACCCGACGCGGTGTTTCGGAATAGTGAGGATGATCTGAATGTCAAGAGGGAAGGACAGCATGCATTATTCTGGATTGATTAAGTATTGGGCTTGTAGATCGTTGATCTGTATAGAAAGTGTTCTGTGGCTTCATATATTGCATAGGCGCACCCAAGCACCAGCCATTTTGGAAAAAATCATTCTGGCCTTATTCCCGCCTTTGGATACGGCTACGAGTTTACCAAGAACTATGACACGTGCGCTTTTGCCAAGTTCAGGTAATGTAACTAAATGAATTAATTGTCCAAAGCAATCCCAAAGGGAGTTAAGTCCTCAATGCACAATATCAGGAGACTGACTTACAGACTTATTTACCTGAAATAGTGTCATATGGTGAGCTGCTAGTGAGCCTCTGTCACGGGCCACTGCCTGTCGTCCTAGTAGGCGAGGGCATAATTATAATAGATCAAGTCTAGACCGGGTTGCAGTTCAGCAAGGTCTCAGGAAAGTTCGACAAGGTCTTAGGGGATGTAGGGCAACCTTAAGACCTTGTTGAACTTTTCCAATATATTAGCTCAGCAAGGTCTTAGATTAGATCCATATATTTTAAGACCTTGTTGAACTTTTATTAGGTTTGTATTTTACACCTGTTTACAATCTATAGACTAGGTGTAATATAGTAAAATCATCATATAGTAGGGACTTCGAATCATCATATAGTAGGGATTCGCATCACCATATGATATACTCTGGCCGGCTACTAGACTCGTTTTCTTCCAGTCTATCCAACCAGAACATGTCCGACGAGTCTCTTCTGAGTGTCTGTAAAAAGTTGGAGCACCAATTAGAGACATGGTACCAGTCTCTGCCAGAGATCATCAAACTGGCCCTCTCGAGTAACCTTGACTGCAAACCACAAGCCAAAGCCCTTCGTTTGCGATATTGGTCCGCCAAACAGATAATATACCAGCCATTCCTCATATACGCAACATCACTCCGTTCAGATCAGGAGCTGCCCCACTTTCATTCTTGATAAATGCCAAATCTGCTTCACCAGCTGCCGGATGTCTCTCGACTTCGCGAGAGAATGGCTGACAAGGTATTCGCCTTACATGTATAGCGTATAACATGAGTAAGTAGTCACTTATCTTCTCACCACTTTATGACTTCAATTAACCCTCTGGAGCTGCTTTTATGTTTGCTATACCCTTCTCATTAGCAGATTTCTCTTACAGAGATATTGAACTCGGCAGCTGGCATTGAGCTTCTCTTTGCTTGGCAGAAAAGACTACTTTCGTAGCTTATCTTGGCCTGAATGTGCCTTCAGTGTTGAATCGACCACAGGCCGTCACTGCTAATTTCTCTCTCGAATGGGATTCGGCTTCTGAATTGAATTCAAAGAAATGTATTTTGATGGAGGAATATAGCAGCGCACATGTAATTGAATACAGAAAACTTGAATGGAAAATCTGATCTCGCGAGCTTGTGAAGCAGCAGTGCATGGTTGTCTTTTGTTGGGATGCATTCCTCATTGTCAGCCCCGTCGCGGACGGACCGATGTGATAGAAACAACAGAAAAGCCGCAGATAAACTGAGATAAAGGTAAAACTCTTGAGAAAATAGCGCCATTACTATACTTGAAAGTCTCTCAGTCCTCTGCTGTGCTCACAACCCAGATCGAGAATATGAGGAAACTGATCTCATACTACCCC